GTTGCTGCCCGCGGCCCCTGCTGTGCCCCAGCTCTCTGCTGGCAGGACTCGGTGCTGGGCACAACCTCTGCCTGCTCTGCGCTGCTGCAGACAGCACAGGGGTAGCGGTTCAAGGATCTTGACCTGAACTTTCTCGAGGAGGGAGATAAGTGATGCATTTTCACTGGTTGCTAATCATTAACGCCTCGTTGCCTGTTCCCCCAAGGACGGGCAGCTGCCTGTTTTGCTGTGGTGGGCCCTGGCTGGGCACCCTGCGGCGCCGGCCGCGGGGCGGCCGTCCGCGCGCAATGGCCAGCCAGAGCTGGAGAAGGAGGTTTGTGCTGCTGGGCTGACCCTGTGTCCTGGGGCTCCTGGAAATAGCTCTCCATGTTACTCTTTCACCGTTACCTCCCGGGGAGGAACAGGGCAATAAAGCTGCCGTGCCGGCACTGCTGCCAGCAACAGCGCGGAGCGGCTGTGGCGGGGAAGGGACAGGGGCCGGGACCTGGCACCAGTGGGACGTGTGGTGTGTTCAGCTCTGTCCCTGCAGCCGGGGTCTGATGGGGCAGTTTTGTGCAGGAGGGGGTTAACCCGGGGGAGCTGTGCTGGGAGGAATGCCTTCCCTCCCAGGGGACCTCATTTGCAAAGGTCCTTTAACCCCACTGCAGAGATCGGAAAAACATTGCTGGCAGCCAGGAGCTCCCCAAGCCTCGCTGTCTGAGGCTGCAGGGAGCTTCAGAAACGGCTTTGGAAAGTTTCCCATGATGTAGAGTCCTGCTTAAATCAGCCTGGTGAATGCCATGGCAGCAAGGTGTTTTTTCATCAGCTGTAGGTTTGAGCTGACATGGAGGTGGTGGGCAGCGTGCCCCCACGCCACACCTGACCCCGTCCACGCTCCTGGGCACCCCTGCAATGGGGTGAGGGCAGAGGGATGGGAGAAATGTTACAGCTTGGGGCTGCGGCAGTTCTGCAGTGCTGTTCACACAGCGTGCGGGTGTTTGAATCTCCTCCTGATAACAGAGCGAACGCCAGGGTTCAGTAGGAGCAGCTGAACGGTTGTATTGGGTGGCAGGAGGAGCAGGAGCTGCAGGACCCCCCGAGTGAGGCAGCCACCTGCGTGGTGTGGGGAGGGGACAGTGCAGGGAAGGGTTAAGGTGCTGGTGCTGGAGCACCCCGTGCTCCACGCAGCTTCACGCGCCCTCGAAGCCTGTTTTTCCCTTTTACGTAAGTTGTTCCAAACATGTTTGTAGCAACCCCCGGTGATGCACCTTTGGCAAAAGTGGTTTTGGGTCCAAAGATCAGTGCTGGGACAAGCGACCTGCCTGCAGCAAACAAGAGTCCGCAGAGTATAAAACCCCAGCAGCACGGTGGAGCGCGGGACACCCTGAGCCACGCCGAGGGGCAGCGGCTGCAGAGGAGGATGGAGGCCAGCATGAACCTCCTGCACGATGTGGGCATCCAGGCGACACACTGGCTGCAGGAGCACTTCCAGGGCTCCCAGGACTGGTTCCTCTTCATCTCCTTCGCCGCCGACCTCAGGAACGCTTTCTTCGTCCTCTTCCCTATCTGGTTCCACTTTAGCGAGTCAGTGGGCATCAGGCTCGTCTGGGTGGCTGTGATCGGTGACTGGCTCAACCTCGTCTTCAAGTGGTGAGTGGCCCCATGCCACGGCTCCCTCTGGGCATGTTGGCACAGCTGGACTAATGTGGGCCAGATGCGTGCTTTCAGCCTTGACATTGGTGTAAAATGGACCAGAGTTCGGCCCCCAGCTTGGCCGTGGTAATGGTCACCCCTTCTCAAGCCATGCGGCAACAGCTCTCCCCCCTTCCCAGAAGCCAGGCAGAGAGATAGAGCCTCCTGCAAACAGACCCCTTTGCCGTCAGCTGGGGCTGCAGTTCTGCGTGAGCGCTGCGCAGAGCCCCTCGCCGCGGGGGTGATGTGGCACAGCTCTGATATGCAGGATCAGGGCTTGGTGCTCCCCCGATCTGGTAGGTGAGTGTTTCCCACGGGTAAGCCAGGACACTCATCTCCCCTTCCTTTCCACAGCTGATAACGCTGGCATCGCAAAGGGAGCCCTGGTAGGCAGCACGCAAGGGACTCGGCTGCCGCTCCAGACACAGGATGATCTCGCTGGCAGTGCCACTCGTACCATGGGGCTGATCCACCCTGGCATCATGGCCCAGCAGGGTTCGGTGTCAGCCGGTAGCCGTGGGTGCCATCCCTGCGGGCGGTGGGCTGTGGTACCAGCAGTCACAGGGTTGGTGGACCAGTGCAGTCCCATCTCCACAGCTGCATTTTAGCGTCCCAAGGTTTTGGGGCTGCGTGCACCCACGTGCATGGGCTGCACCTCACGTTCCTGTGGCAGGACCTGGCAGTGTGGCTGGGGGGGTGGTGGCCACCCTGGCTCTGTGCCTGCCCCGCAGTTCAAATCCCCTGGGGATGCCCACACTGCCTGCACGTGTGAGAGGGACAGGGACAGACGGCCTCGGCCTCTGACGCCACTGTGAGATAGTTGCTCTTGGCCTGAAAAAGGCTTAGAGGAAGCAGACACTGCTCCTCTTTCTCAGCATGTTGATTTACTCCCAGGAAGTTCTTGCTCTTCCCCTTCAGGGGCCAGGGATGGGGACACGGACAGCCAGTGTCGGCTGTCAGGACCAAGCGACCGTCTGGATGCTGTGTCTGTCGGGATGCCCTGGACCACTCATGGGTCTTTTGCCTCTTCCAGCTCCCAGGTCAGAGCTGAAATCGCAGCTCTGCCCACCTGCTCTGGTGCCCAGGACCCTTACGGCCCCTGTTCTGCTTTCTTTTCAGGATCCTCTTTGGAGAGAGACCGTACTGGTGGGTCCACGAGACGGACTATTACAGAAACACCTCTGCCCCAGAGATCCAGCAGTTCCCACTCACCTGCGAGACTGGCCCCGGTAGGGTCCCCCAGCCGCGGTGGGGTCCCCCAGCCCCAGCAGGGGTGGCAGGTGCTCGCCCGGGGGGACCTGCACACACAGCTCCCCGCTCTGGGTCTTGGTCCCTGCAGGGAGGGGGGTGCTGGCATGGCTGTGGCCGTGGCTGGCAGCCCACCGGCAGCACACACCGCTAGCTAGCTCTTGAGAGAGGCTGATTATCACTGAGCCACAGTGTTGGCCCCCACTGCGCTCCCGGGGACACCAGCCGCGGGACCCCCAGCCGCGCCTGCAGTGGGTGGAGGCAGGGCAGCCCCTGAGCAGAGCAGACCTTGACCCTCGTGCGGACGTGGCAGTTCAGCACAAACCCTTGCCTGTGCTCAGCCACAGCCTTGGCCCGTGCCGGGGCCGTGCTCTGCCCTCCAGCCCCAAACGTGGGCAGCTGCTCCATGGGGAAGGGGCTTGCCCAGCTCCGGGCCAGCTCTGTCTGTACTTTGCCCGTGGCTTTCCACAGGAGCTGGGGAAGGGCTGCAGGTGTCCCCGGTGTGCTCAGCGTCAGCCATCGGCAATGCTCAGCACCCGCTGCCCAGTCTTGCCCAGCAGACGGGCTGCAGAGCCCGGGCCATGCTCCCACACTGCCCTTGCCATGCTGTCCCCCTCGCCAGCCTCGCCTGCACCGGGGGACGGAACTGGACACCACCACAGAGGTGGCACCATGGCCACCAGGGGACAGGTGCTGGGTGCCGTGCCATCTGGTGCCATGGTCCCCAGGGGCTGGGCTGCTTCCTGGGAGCCCCGAGGAAGAGCAAGGTCTGACCTGGGGCTCTCTTCTTGCCCAGGGAGCCCCTCCGGCCACGCCATGGGTGCAGCAGGCGTGTACTACATCATGGTGACGGCCCTCCTCTCCGCTGCCATGGGGAAAAAACGCTCAAGGACACTCAAATACTGGTAAGCTGTGTACCAAAACCACCCGTGCAGGCAGAGGCTGCTCCAGAGCCGACGGCTGTGCAGCCAAACCCATAGAGGCACAATGCTGTGGGCAGACAGCCGGGCGGGGTGTGCGTGAGGACAGCTCGGCAGACAGCCAGGCACTGTGCTGGGGCTATGCGAAGGCGGCACCCTGGGCAGCGTGAGCCGGCCCTGGCACCAACATGGCCACCTGCCCCTCACAGGGTGCTGTGGATGGTGCTTTGGACGGGGTTCTGGGCAGTTCAGGTTTGCGTCTGCCTGTCCCGAGTCTTCATTGCCGCCCACTTCCCCCATCAGGTCATCGCAGGTGTCATCTCAGGTGAGTGCATCAGACCACCCGTCCCCTTCCCTGCAGCACTGCTGTGCTGGACTGCAGCACCCGCAGCACTGGCCACGAAGGGTGCACGGCCTGACTGACGTGTGTGGGGTCATGATGCAAAGCTGCATCCATGGCTCTGGAGTTACTGCCCTCATCATCACAGGCAGGCTGCCCTCCAGGACGTGCCTTGTCCCGATCCCATGTGAGGCGTGAGTCCCAGTCATGTGGGCAGGGCACTGCCAGCCGCTGCTGGGCTCTGAAGGACAGTGAACATACAGTGAACATGGCCTGAAGGCACAGGCAGGGCAGGCTTGGGGTGTGAAAGGGTCTCACTGGGCAACGGAGCAGAATTGGCCACCTGTGAGCAACGAGGTGCAGCGGTGGCCACTGGGGCAGTCAGCACCGCACAGGAACACCTGGGTGACCCCGGCACGTTCCCCACTGGCACGCCCAGGGCTGCAGGATCCACTCAGCTCCGCCGCCCCAAGGCAGGTGATCACTTGCTGGTCAGTGATGCCTCCTCTCCTGCTTTGTTACCGGCAGGGATGGCTGTGGCCAAGACCTTCCAGCACATCCACTGCATCTACCATGCCAGCCTCCGTCAGTACTTGGGCATCACCTTCTTCCTCTTCAGCTTCACCCTGGGCTTCTACCTGCTGCTGCGGGCACTCGGTGTGGACCTGCTCTGGACACTGGAGCGGGCACGCAGGTGGTGCGCCCACCCTGAGTGGGTCCACATTGACACCACCCCATTCGCCAGCCTGCTCCGTAACCTGGGCATCCTCTTCGGGCTGGGGCTGGCCCTCCACTCCCACATGTACCTGGAGAGCTGCCGGGGGAAGCAGGGCCAGCAGCTGCCCTTCCGCCTGGGCTGCATCGCTGCCTCCCTCCTCATCCTACACCTCTTCGACGCCTTCAAGCCACCCTCTCACATGCAGCTGCTCTTCTATGTCCTCTCCTTCTGCAAGAGTGCGGCCGTGCCGCTGGCCACCGTTGGCCTCATCCCCTACTGTGTCTCCCAGCTCCTGGCCACGCAGGACAAGAAGGCTGTCTAGGGGCGTCCCCACAGGTAACGGCGTGCCCGGGCAGGCGGCCGCCCCGGCTCTGGGCTCAGGGGCAGTCACTGGACCATGGGCGCAGCCCAGCCACTCTTTGCTCCCCACTAAATTGCACAGACTGACTCCGCACCGGGAGGAGACGGTGAAGGCTGGGCTGGCGGCACTGCTGGATGGCTCCTGTGGCACGGACCCACAACGCCAGTCATGCCATAGGCTCGGGCCGCCTGCACCCAGCTGATGGCACAGGGCGCCCCGCGCTCCCAGGGCTCTCCTGCTGTCCCTCCCACCTCCACGGCTGGGGGTCATCAGCCTGGGACCCAGTGGCAGTGGGGGGAAGACCCTGCACTCCCCTGCAGCTCAGTGGGACGTGCCACCTCCACCCTGAAGAGCTGAGGAACAGCACCACCAGGACCAGGGTCCTCACCCATGGGTGCGCGGGGTCTGCTGGAGAGGCAGGTCTGTTACAGAAAGGGGCAGACACTGTGATTTGGAGATAAAGCACCGGCTTGCCTGAGCACTCCTCAGCCCTGAGGTGTTCGGTATTCACTGCGCTGTGAAGCAGCATGGGGTACACATATGCGTATGTGTGTATACATACATAATGTGTATCTATATACACATATACATATGGGTGTGTCTGTAAACAAGAGGTATTTTATTAAAGCTGAAGGTGTGTTTAGCTGGTGAGTTCGGATGTCCTGCTGGCCGGTGAGGCAGGATGGGGGTTCGGCTCCCAGGTGCAGGGACTGCAGCGGGGGCTGCTGGTGGCATTGGACATCTCTCCTGGGGTGCTGCTCCTACTGTCACCTGCAAGGCACGGTCAAACCACCGGGAAAGGCAGTGCCACGCTCCCCCAGTCCTCATCACCTCTCACCCTCGGGTGCAGTCGGACATGGCCAGCACAGTGAGAGGGGACAAGCTGCTTTTTGTGCTGTTTATCCAGGGTTTCTGCATGCACCTTGTGCCAGGAACGGACACACTCGTGTCACCTCGCTGCTTATGGAAACAAGCACAGGGACCAACCAGCTCGGCTGGGGCTGTGCCGAGCCCCCAGGCTGTGGAGGCAGAGCTGCCGTTCGCCCGCTGGCTGTGTTGCGGGGTTGGGGCCCAGTGGTCAGTGCTGGCTCAGCCTCCAAGCACCGCTCGCCTGAACACCAGGTCTGCCCGAGGCGCAGGAAGTGGCTGCATCAACGTGGGGTCAAGCTGCGTCGCTGCCAACATCTTGGCTCTCCCGTCAGACACATCCTGGCCCTCCTGTCTTGGCGCCGTGCTCATTAGCAGCAAGTCAGCTGCAGGCTTGCCCTGCTGACTTCAAAGCCGTGCAGGCTGTACAGCCTGCCGGTTAACTCAGTAAACACCCTCTCTCCGTCTGAGAGCATTTAAAATAGATACGAAGGTACAGATACTTTTTCCTGCCAGGCTGTATGTATGCATCTGCAGTGTCTCCCCCAAAGCACCAGTTCCTGCAGCATTTACCCGATGATGCTATAAGCATCAGGAATGTTCTCTGCTGTGGCACACCTGAGAAATGCCATCTCCCCTACCCAGATCTTGCAATGCCTTTGGGAGATGGTGTCCAGCAGACCATGGCAACGTCCGTTGTCTTGCTGCAGCTTAGATGGGCCTTTACCACATGTGGCAGCCGAGTGTGCAGGCTTTGCAGCCTTTCCTAGCCCTCTGATGGGAGCCCTCTGATGGGAGCCCTCTGGCCACCGCAACATCGAGAGCCGTCAGACAAGAGAGCTCCTTCCTCCTGGCCAAACTGCACATCAGCAGAAGTCCACGCTAAAACCCATCCATGCTAAAATGCCTTCCATGGCAAAGTTTGCTGTAAATCTTGCTTGGTGCAGAGCTCAGCTGCGGGCCTAATTCTCTGCAGAAAGCTTACCTCGATCAGCACGCACACACAGAGTTTCCTCCAGCTGGGGAGCAGGCAGGCTTGGCGCAGCGGTTATCCCAGCCAGGAAGGGCTTGGACAGGGCAGCCAGACCCCATGGAGGCAGCCGCAGAAGGCCCCTTGCTGGGAGCCCGCCGTGTGCGGTGGGAACAAGGGCTGCTGGCCCCCCCGCAGAGTCCCAACAGGCGCCGATGGGCAGCGCAGCCGTGACCCCGTGCCTCTGCTTGCCAACCGCTGGCAAAGGTCTCTTGGCTGAATGGCAACTGCACTGGCCGTGTGCTGGGGCTGCTGCTATCCTCTGTGTTCATGGTAGATAAACCTCCTTAGGATAGAAGTTTCTTTTCTTCTATTTCTCTGTTTATTACCGACATCTGAACCAAACCTGTCATGCCATTCCTAGCAAGGAGGGGAAAAAAATTCCGAAATTACCCGTCGTGCTTTTTCACACTGTGGCTCCACAGCGCCCTTTAGTCTCTGCAGCTGAGATTGCAACAGCTCCAGGACCCACCGTGGCAGAAAAGGCAAGCTGGGGAAACACGGGGGAGTAGCTCTGCCTGATCCCAAGGGAGTTTACATCTGTATTAGCTGGAGGAAGTCCTGATGTTCAAAAACGGACCGGTGACAACTGCACCCCAACAAGGGAAAGGACCAATACACGAAGGTGAATGATTTCCTGCCTGTGGGGCATCCGCTCTCCCAGCTGCTCTCTGCCCTGGGTGATTCAGGACTGTTACCTTTTGCTGTGCTTGATCGAGCTGAGGAAAGCTTGCCACTATCCAGGACGAGGCACCAGGTGGGGAACAGCTTCCTTTTGCTGAGCGTTGGTGATGATACTTGGAAATGAGTTTGGTTGTTGGAGACTCCTGAACTCAGGTACTGTTCTTGTGATGGGGAGCTTGAGAGGAGGATGGAACTGACACAGCTGCAGAGATGGGAGTGGGGGTAATCGTGACCTTGCTCTTCTCTTCGAGGGCTGCTCTGCTGGAGGACAGAGCTCAGGGATCAGCTCTTCTACCAGTTATGCCACAGCAAAGGCCAGGTGTAGGAGTGCTGTAGCAGACCAGGAAGATGCCTTCCCAAGGCACTACCAGCACAGCCTGGTGCTGATGTACCCGTGCACAGAAAGCTGCAGTCTCTACTTCGGGGACTACAGAAATAGCTGCTGTTCCAGAGAATGCTCAGGAGCTGTAGGTACAAGCCTGGACAGTATCACATTTTGCAGACTAGCATAGAGTGACATGAGCCAGCTGTATGCCAAGACCCAGTCTACCATTGACAGTTTTAAGAGTACAACCTATCCGGGCTTGTCCAGAGTAATGTTCAGGCCAGACTACTGCGCCTCTGTAAAGCTATTTCTTGTCACATAAGAGAGCCAAACATAAGATACTATTGCAGAGGCAGGGGAAAGGCCACTGCTGGGGAGAAGAGAATGGTAATGAAAGCTTGAGCTCATAGCAACAGAAGTGAAGGAAATGTTCAGGCACACACCTAGAAGAAATGCCCAATGTACGGCTCAAACAAATGACTTTAATATGGTTTTCTGCCTGCCTGCAAAACAAAGCACTATATGGCTGCTTCTATCTGTATTTAATTCTCCTGTACAAAGAGTCAGCACACCTGTGTTAACATGGTTCTGCCAGGCCAGCTACAAATGGATGAAGTTCCTTCTTGCAATAACATACTTGACGCTACCAACAGTAGAGCTTCGGGACTGCAGCGATGAAGCTGGTGTTACCTGACAGCTGCTCCCATCAGCGTCACAACTGGGTCAATAGCAACTGCTGCCCGAGGGAACCACCGAGTCCAGAGGTCAGCGGCAGCCCTGCATGTTGGCCAGCAGCAAGGCATGGCATTAGCACAAACATCTTCAGATCTCCAGCATCTGCAGATTTCTGAGTAGCCAGGGAAAAAAGTCAGTCCCTTTTTTTTTAAAAAAGGGCTCACAGAGACTTGTCCCTTGGTGCCCCATCCTTTCCTTGGTCACAGGCTTGACAACAACACCTTGTCTTCTTGCTTCCCAGTTCTATTTCAGTCAGCTGTAACTGGTGACCAGCTTAGTTTGGTCTTTTAACGGGGATTTACTGATCTGACCATCCCTCTAATTCTTGCCACATTTCATTCCTTCTTCTCCTTACAACATTTCAGCAGCAAAAGCTTGATTCATTTTCCCTGCACTTGTTGTCAAATACCATCCTCAAACCCTCTGCTTCTTACCAGTATTCTGATTTTTTTAAGTGCACCCAGCTTATTCTAAATAAATACGCTCACAAAGCAATTACTCTTCAGCAATGCGTACAAAGTAAAAAGTCACAAGGTAGTGCAAACGGGAGGGCCCCCTCTCTTGGTTTTAGGAAGTCGACAAAATGGTTAAATGATGACTACTTTTAATCACTTAAGAATGCGTACTATTTGTCTGGGGAAATGACAGAACCCTTGCAGCAAAGCATGGATGGCAGCTCCCTTCCTCCAATTTTCCATGACCACCAAATCAGCTCACACAGAGCATATGCACACCAGCTGTTGTTTTTATGTCTTTATTCTCTGGGAGAGAAGTTGGTGGAGCTTATGCAAAGCAGGGAAGACAGCCCTACTTTGAGAATTGTTTCTTACGCTTCAGGGCTTTGACGGCTGATGAATTCCTGGAGCAGAGCTTGCACTTCTCCTCGCCGACTCATCTTGCTTGCCTTGCCCTGAAAGCGGCCTCGCTTCCCAGCTCCTTTGCCTCCCAGCAGCTCTGCCACCCTGCAGTGACAATAGTACAGGCTAAAGGCCACTCATCTGCAGAAAAGAGTGACCTGGCCTTACCTGCTCCAGAGAGCAAACAAGGATCCATGCCCTAATTATACCGCCCAGCTACTTAGTCTGCAACATTAGAATTCTTACTAATTTTAAAGAAACCATAGAACATGTTACCTGGGACCTAAATTCTCAACTGCTTCAACAGGTCCAGCTAGAAGAAAGAGTCCTGCTTCTTTTTCATCTCCCACAGTCAGGAACAGCAGGGTTTCCTGTGGACAGACAGATGGATCTTGCTCCAGAATAACCAGTGCTCTCCTTGTCCGGGAAGATGACAGAGACTCTGGCCACAGGACCCATCCAAGCATGCAAACCATTCAGAAGTTTGTGTGCATTACTGAGACAGAGACTCAATTTGAAGAAAGTAAAAGGGAGGGGGGCTTTTGAACCTTCTATGCTCAATCTTATGTTGTGGGGGACAGAACAGGTACTGCAGTATCCCAGGTTAAAAGGATATGGTTGGCAGTTGGACTAGATGATCACTGTAGGTCTCTTCCAACTTAGTCTAGTCTAGTCTAGTCTAAAACAGCTGATGAGGTTCAGTACAGCTCTTTGGGGGACAGGCTCTTCTACAGTGCTCTGAATTTTCACTGTTGTATTTCTTGACTATTGAGGATTGCCCTGCAGATTGAGGCTGCTGGGGACAATAATGTCATGCAACTTTTGAAAGGAAACAGACCCGTAGCTTGAGACTATAGTACAAACAGAAGCCTGATGCTGCCTGTGTTACCGCTTGAATGAAAAAGACAGTGGTGTCAGGTTAGTCTTCATCAGTGACTCACCTCTGTCCCGATCTCATTAGCGATGATATTCATAAATTCAGAGTCACCTTCTTTCCTGTACGGATGGGTAAAAAATAACACTTCAGAAAGAACAAAAAATTCCCTCTAGAATCCAAAATATCAATCAGAAACCAAAGGCCTGACCAGGCTTGGGGTTTTGACCTCTTGCTGTTAGGATGGAGATGAGCTTTTTTTCCTATATATCTAAATCCTCATTGTGCATTACTGTGGACATACTAGGAATTATTTAGAGGTTGATCTTTAAAAAATAGAGCTCCTCAGTTTTATTTGAAAATATCAAGGGCAGAGAGAAATCAGACACAACCTTCCAGCAGGCTGAGGCAGTTTAATAGTCTATTCACCTTGTTGCTATTCTTCCTTGAGAAACAAGCCTGAGTAACTGTCAGAGAGATGCAACTGCCATAAAACGTGTAAGATAGATACCTTTTTACTCTTTTCCCTGAACTCCCCCATACCTGTGTAACACAAACAGCTGACTTTGAACAGGTTTGTTCTTGAAGTCCTGGGCTATCAAAACAGCAATGTCTCTAAGCAGATTCAAGTTATTCTGAAAGAAAAGCAAATAAACTGTACTGCAGATGGAGAAGTCAGTGTGAACACTGAGTTGTGTTCCCAGAGATGGGAGCAGTTTTCATAATATCCACAAAAACTGATGTCTATGATTCCATTCCCAGTTATCACAACTAAAGCTCAGGTCTACAGGAAGCAGCCACAATCTGCTTTTCTCAGCCATACTCCTACCTTCTGAAGCAGTTTCACAGAACTCTGCAATCTCTTTACAGCCTCTACATGCTCACCTGGTCCGTTTCTGAAAGAACAAGAAGAATTTGGATCACCACTCTGAGGGACAAAGAAAGGATTTCTTAGAAGAGCAAAAGCAGATAGCATAATGAAAACCACTGCGTAGATGTATCCTGAGGCTTATGTGGTATTTGTCAGAAGAAATAGTAAAGATGAAATAATCAAAGTGGAAAGGTTATTACTTGAGCAGTGAGGTTAGAGCCTTCTCAGTACTGTGACTTTGTTCGATTGACTTCAGGACTCTGTTTCCTGCCAGGAAAACCAAGTTGGTTTTGTTCTTTTTCCCTTTTTCTGTGCCAAGGAGTTTAATAACCTTAAAAAGAAAATCACCCTGGTCAGACAAGAACAGTACTTTGCTTATACGCACACACGTGCTCAGTTCCTACTAGACTATACCTTGTTGTGAATATAGGTTCTCTGCCAGTGAAAATAAACTGATTGAAATCAGCCATAAGGTCAACATACAAAAAAAAAAGGATGGTGATACAATGGAATTAATACAATTTGCTAGTCAGGGGCTGCACTCTGCAATGCATCTGGATGTCTCTGCTGGGATACAGATTCCAACAAATGACTAAAAAGACAGAAACACTTAAAGGCAGCTCTAGAATTTTATCTCCACCTGCCTGCACAGAGGATTTCTCACTCATGACAAACAATCAAAAATACCAGTGCTCTAAGCAGAGGGAACAAATGGCTAGCAACCCAGCGATGCAGTCAGACTGGAAATATACCATGTGCCCTCTGCAGAGGCATCAGTAGTTCAGAAAATATTGTTACTACAGACAAGGGCTGAGTTCTGTTACAAAGAAGGAAAGGAGCCTAACTGACTGGACAAAGACTGCTGACCTGTGTGAGCCCTCTGGGCTCACCCAACACAGGGCTTCTGCTGTCCGCTTTACCATCAGGACAATTTCTGGCAGACTGGATTTCAGGGACTTCTTGCTGTGCTAAGTCTGAATGTGTAGAGCAAGGCTCAGCTGCTCAGCTGCAGCCCCCCACCTGCAAGTCACTCAGGTTGGAGACATGAGTCCCACAGCACATGTTGGAGTCTATGCCTTCAATGTCAACAACTCGCACTGGCCCCGCATGGTCATCTGGCAAACCACGGCTTCTCACCTATCAAAAGGAAGACAATGGCAAACAAGGCAACATCCATGCTGCGGTTATTTTGGTGCCACGGATACCATCAGTTCTCTCCCCACCACTCACTGTTTCAATTTCAGGGTCATCTGCAGCCAGCTCCCTCACCATCACAGGTACCCGCTCCCGGATCTTCTCATTCACACTTCTTTCCAGGGCCTCTATTTGCTCTGCTGTCATGGAGGGGGTGTCCAGCTCAATGACACTTCGCTGACGGCCCAGTTCCCTGCACCAATGAAGAACATCTGCTGTTGTAGCTAAGACCACCTGGAAGGTCCCTCTGTGCAGCACTAAGCACCATTCCACTGCTGGGAAAGTGGTGGCTGAAACAAAACATACTTCCCTCCTCTCCGTTATTTACAAAGCACCAGATGCATACCAAACACCTGGAGAAGGACAAGACAGAGCAAATACTTTGCACAACTTCTCTCCAGTTCAGTCACCTCTCCCAGGCCCCCTGAGCTCGAGTGAAATGTCCAAGGGCAAACTGCTTTTGATTTATCAATGTTCAGCTCCTTGTGGCACATGTCAAACAAGGTAAGACTAGGGTCAAAATGAGCCTTTTCCCTGCTCACCATGAAGTTGTCTTGAATGCAAACATCTGTTCTGCCATGGCAGTGATGAGGTGCTGTCCTGGAAGACACAGGCAACAGCTTTCAGTGCCACTAGACACAGGAAAAGAGATTTTCAGTCAGACTGTATTTTTTTTATTGACATTCCCCATGACATTTGCAAAGGTCTGGGCATGGGCTCGGTGCTGTGGGACTTACGCGACTGCTTAAGGAGCAGACAGAAGAGACAGCCATCGCCTTGTGGGCCTCGGGACCCTGAAAGCACCACGGTGCCCCTGAAGACTTTGCAGCAGGTTGAACTTTTCCTTCCAAATTTGTTGGCAGTGGGTTTGTTTACAAGCGAAGGAGAGCCCGCAGGGAAGTGCCTGCCTTGCCAGCTGGCCCCGGGGACGGACTGTGCATGCAGAGCCATCGGGCTTCCCCCTCCCCTGACCGGGGTGGGGACAAGCTGCGCACTGGCCACCCCCCCAGCACAGGGCCCGGGTGAGGCGAGACGAGGCCGCCCCGGAGGGGGCCCGCAGCACTGCCAGACGTGCCTGCAGCGAGGGGTTACCGGACGCCTCTCGGTCGGGCCGGGGCACGGACCTGAATGCTGCTGCATGTGGTCGAAGCGACGCTCCCAGTCCAGCGACAGCAGCACCTCGGCGCCCGGCTCCAGCGCCGCCTGCACGAAGTGGACGGCCTCGGTGCCCCG